ACAACATAAACAAAATTGAGCATTAAAATTGAGGTTAAGGCTACATCTAGAACTGCAAGTAGTAACCTGACTTCACCCTCCAATGAGTCGACAATTTAAAATTAAAAAAAAAAAGTTTGAAACTTAAAAGTGATTTTTTTTTTGAAAAATCGTATTTAATGAATCATATTTCATATCTAGGAAAACGACAGTTGTTGAGCAGTAACCTTCAGAGTGCATATGAACACTTCTTGAGAGTGCCTTGACAGAAGTCTACTATAATTTTGAGAAGTTGAAATTAGTTAAGTTTTTTCATAAAATCATAAAATTGGCATATCTCGTAGAAAAAATTATTAAAGCAGTCAAAACTTGATGAAGCAAATTGTAACTTCTGAAAGTACCATGAAATCACGCCATTATAAGGTTGGGAAATAAAAATGTTGTAAAGTTTTTTCCAATCAATTTTTTCGAAGTTTTTTTTAAGAATTATTGAAAAAACGTCATCTCTTGGAAACTGAATTAATTTCAGCAGTCAAATTTCGAGGGACGATTTGCAATGTCTGAGAGTACCCTGGCCTAACCTGACACTGTAGAGTTGATAATAACATTTTTTGTTGAGTTTTTTTATCTAAGTATCTAAGTTATGTGAAAACTTAAAAAATCCTAAAAAACGTCATATCTCGGGAAGTAAAAGGATCTGCCCAGTCAATTTCTGAGGCAAGATTTGGATTATTTGAGAAAACCCTGGCAGCGCCTGATTACAGAGTTGAGAATTTCAATTTTTGTGAAATTTTTTCTAAGTTTTATGAAAATTTTCGAAAAATCACAAGAATCTTTGTATCTCGTAAAAAAGCTAAGTACTAAATTAAAAATACTTGGGTACTCATATTTGGAGGCCCAAATTGGAGCTCCAAGGCGAACCCTGACAACATCCCCCTTTTGGGTTGCTAATTTCAAACTTGAAAAAAAACCACTGAATTCAAGCTGGAAAATTGAAAAAAAAGTTAACCATTGTAATATACGATATAGCTTAATCGTGCAAAAATTCTTTCGTAAAACATGCAAAAATATTACATTGAAAAAGCTCAAACATGGCGAGATAGTGAAGCCCGCATTTAAGTATATAATAGATAACCTGACAGTGTTATCAGTGTTTGTGGCTAGTTCAGATAATTATTTGTGAAAAGATTAGTTTTGTTGACAAGAAACAGTTGTCTTAATAGGCGAATCTCAACCCCAGACTAATGATCTGTGTACGTCTGTCACTTCACTTTGCATCAGTTGAAAAATACTGGTCTGCTAAACACTATTTTCTTAATTTATGCAAAATTATTTGCCTGCAAAAATGGTTCATAGAAACAATATTTAGAGAACTTTTGCAACGTTTGGGCTCCATTGATTGTAATTTTTTTTAAAATTTATTTCAAAATCACTAAAAACGTTTTCATATTTTGTTTGGGTCAAATAATTTGTCCAAAATCTCAAAAATTTTAGACCTCTTGGATTCAATTATTTATCAACAAACTGACAAACAGTGGGTAGAAACAATTAATTTCTGTGGATTAGTCTTTGACTTTTTTTAGCTTTTATAAAAACAAAACATCATAAAAAAATGTCATATCACAACAACTAGATCAAATATTTCAATAACTTGGGAAACAACTGGATCAAAAATTTAGGACGCAGAGGCGCAGCAGATTCCTTGCGATACAACACGAACATAGCATGACAAACTAGAAGAAAACCGCTACGTCAAAAATTTTAAAAGTTTTGCAAATATCGAGAAAAGCTAGCTTCACAAAAATTTGCGTATCCTTGTCTTGAATAGAATTCTTTTGAGAAAAAAGAAAATTGAAAGTACAATTGCATCAAAACAAAGCAGTACCAAAGCCGACAATTTTGAGCAAAAACCCGTTGAGCTAAAGAAAAAAGCTTTCTCATGAAAAGTTGAAAAATTTCAAAATTATTAAGTTACCCATCAAAGGACTCACACGGAGAGGAAACTTGTTTTGCCCATCCAGCGATGCAAAATGATGCCAGTAAGACATATATTATGAGCCAAAAAAAATAGGCCGGGTAAACGAAAAAAAAATAATGAACTTATTCTAAACCGGGGTTGGTAGATTTAAAACCAACATGAAAAACAAATATCCAATAGCACGGGTATTTAAAATGCAAACGTGCTTAAAATTATTGATGCTTGACGAAAGTTCCGATTCAAAAAACTGATTCAGTGATTCTGTTGAATAAGTTGTTTACAAGAATTAGTCTATGTTCCGAACTAATAACGCTTGCTACTCACGTGCAAATCATCGCATACGTGATTATTCGGCGAACATGAAATGCAAAAATTTTTTAAAAGTTTAAATACAAAACTTTAAAAATTCAATTACATTTTTCCAGCAAAAAAACAAGATTCATAACCCGCGAAAAACCTTATACCTCTAGAAATGGCATTAAAAAACTTAAGAAAAAGTAAGCTGAACCTTCAAAAAGAGTCCGCGCTACGGGAACTAATCCAACAAAGGAAAACAGACGAACGAAAGTATTAAGAAGTAGAAAACTTCTAGTATGAAAGAAAAGCAGGTCATGTGCATATTCGAACCACAGCCGTAGTCGTCCCGAGCAGATGTGTTACCTCTACGCCAGATGCTCTGGATAGTTAATTGATTTCGATTTTATCATGAAGCGAGATCAAACATCTGCGAAATCTTGATAACTAAGTTGTTTCCGGTGAAAAAAATCGAGGGCTGTTGCAACACCCTACTTATCGCAAGGGTAAAAATAGCCAACAGCCAGCTGGACAAGAGTCAATTAATGCATAACCTTCTCATTTTGAAAGGTTTAAAACTGACTTGTTTTTTTTTTGTTAAAACAAACTTCGTGCCCATTTTGAAACACACTTTTTTAATTGGAGAAGGCAGCTTAACTAACTTTTAGCAAATCGAGTGATTCGAACTCAAATATTGCTTGATATAAAAGCATCAGGACCTGTTTAAGAGTCTGAAACTTCATCGACTCTAAAACTGGATCAAAATTTTTCTTCCGCTGGAAAATCTAAAAATTGAATTCCACGTTCCAAATTAGACCATGTTTTGCGGGACAATTACATTTTTTCTGTTCGATAGTGTAGTTTGCTTTCATTTACTTTAAAAAATGGAACTTAAAATGAATTAAGAAATTAAAGAGAAATCAGAATTTAAAAAAACAGAAATTTAAACCACGGAAAATAAAAAAAACTCAAATAAATTTTTTTTACTATGTTCATCAACCCTTTAAAAAGCTCGATCATAAAGTGTAAAAAGGATCCCCGGTTACTGTGCAAGAAGCACAGTATGTTCCGATCCTAGAAAAAATATGATTTTTTTTTCAAAATAATGAAGTTTTTTCTACGTGGTGTGATAAAAAGGATCTGAACAAAAAACTTGAACTTAGGCATACTTGACAGTCATAGTGAAACAAGCAAACTCAAAAATAATAGTTTTCTCGAAAAATTTCTATACAGAGTCGAAATTGCAAAAATATGTCCGATAACGCTACTGAGAAAAACTGAATGAGTAAAACTTCCAGTCAACAAAATTTCTTAAGTGACGCACGCCAATTATGAGTCTACATAATTGCTTATGGACGGACGCCAATTATGACGCATTAGCGGTAACAGTCATTTTGAGAAAAATAAAATTTACCAACGCACATGCCTCAATTTATAGAGCAGTATATGGAGCAGTGATAGCATGAAAAAATTAAATGTATTAAAAATAAATTGAAACTTTTTTTCTTCAATTTGAGATTTTTTGTGAAAATCATCCTCCCACACACCATATAAAGTGCAAAATGATAGATTTCACTCCTAGTAACAAATCAATTATGGCAAATAAGCTTCCTTCAACCAATTTAGAAAGATTTCTATGACGGATAAAATCTCCGCTTACAACTATTAAGCTCAGGACAACTAATAGCGCGAAATATATCGCGCAGTAATTGTCCCAAATTGGCAATTTCTATACCGCCATAACTTTATGAAAAATGATCACAGGTGAAATTTTTTTCCAAATTTAAGCTCAGGACAACAATACTTTTTGAATACCGTCAAAAATGGCCAGTTAAAAAGTCGAAATTTGTCCGAAGAAAAAAAACCCGAGCACAAATATTCCATTGGGAAAGTCAGAACAATAATATTCTGTGTTAAAATCCTTAGCATTGGCTGTATTTAATAGCTGGTTATTGATTAAAATGAACATTTTCAAAATGAACACATTTTATCGCAAAAAAAATGGTAAAAATTATTATTTTTTTTTTCGAAATTTTTATCTTTTTGACACTTAATAAGGCGCTAAAACTCAAATAATTAACTTTACTCGAATAAAAATACATTATCAAGGCTTAAGCTAAGCATAAATAAGCTAATGTAAGCCTCCCGACTAGCTCGAAATTAGTCAAAAAATCAAAAATTTCAAAGTGGTTTTCTCAACACTAGAAAAAAAGCTTGGCATTTTTTGTTGTGGTTCCAATCATATGATACATCACTCAACCCAGTCCGATGATTATTTGTGGTTCCTTATTTTGCGTGGAAAACAAAAAAAATCTAAAACACCCGAATACAAAGTATCTCTCCATTTTCCATGGCCGGAGCAAAAACGATTGATTACCTGACCTTGGATTACAAATTCTTTTTATGAAAAGATGAAAAGGTAAATTCAGGAGCTTGGCGTTTACCCGCGGGCTTATGAAAATGAAATAATTTTGACCAAACAATGAAGATGCCCAGCAAAAATTATTGGCTAACTTTGATTGAAAATCAAAGATCAATATATACTCGCCACAAAAACAAGTGGACTGGTAAAAATAAAAAAAAACCACTCTAAAAGTACACATCAATCTAGCCATATTTTAGCGGTGAAAAAACTACGAATTGCGATACTCAATCATTAAACAATCGTTCTGCAACAACATTATCAATGGAAAATCTAACCACAACTTCAGTTATCTGCAACTTAAATTTAAAATTAAAACTAACCAGAGATATTTCAATTCACGAAACAGATCAAACTCAATTTTAAAAATGATTGTAAAAAGAGGGCACAAAACAAAATAAAAATCGTATCACGAAGTTGTAGTTTTTGATCGCTTTGTAACTTTTCCTGTTGTTTTCTGAAACTCCTGTTTTTCTAAATTCGCTTTCGTCGATCTTTCTCCGCGTGTATTGTTATGCGTGGAGGTAGATGAAGAGGATTGAATCATATTCCGGAGAAAACGTTTGTTGATGGGCTGCACTGGACTTTTCTTCCTTAACGAGAAAAATAACTGACAAAATTGACTAGTTATACTTCGTTATAATTTATTTGTGTAGGAATATTCTTCTCAAAAAATTAAATGTCGAATTAATTATTTTCAAAATTGAATGCATAAACAAGATAAAAAAGATTTTTACAACCATTAACAATCTTGCCTAAAATTTGATGAGCTTCTTCACCGACCAGAATTCAGATCAGACAACCACGAAGAGCTCAGTTACGACTTACCACGCCATCGATCCCATGGACTCGTATCGCATCTTGGCTCTTTTTGTCTCTTTCCCTATTTCTTCAACGGCTCTTCTGAACAAATAAAAAAGATAAGTGCTTTAGCGTGTTTCTTCTGTTAGTCGAGTAGGCTCTAAAAACTATTTCTGAACATCCTAAATAACGCAGAAAATACTATTTATAATAGAAGAAAGTTCTTCGAAGAAATATTGAAATCAAGAGCGGCCCAATGTTTCACTATTTGCTTCAAATTAGTCGAAGCAAAAAAATCCACACAAGTTTTATTCGAAACCAATAAAACTTTGTTGGAATTTTTGCAGGTAGGCGAAGCGGAGCTTCGCACTTGTTGCTATAAACACAATCATAAAAAAGAATAAGTTGAAAAAAAATGATATGTTGAAAAAAACTAGGTGAACCAAAGTTTGCATATGAGCGATGAAAGACACCTAGGGCCCAGCTAAAACTCGATTTACATATATTTTGAATTCGTTATAATGATTATGAGTGGCCGCTAATGCAGCGGAGCTTCCTACTACCTGTTATCGCCATTGAACCCACAACCTCAGTTGTGGGAGGTTAGTTTTCGAGAAAAGCTAAAGAAGCTACAAGGATGTTAAAGAAAATAAAAAATTTGGCTATTCCGAGGGCCATAACAACTGATTTTGTTAAACTAGCTGTTGACCCAAAAAAAATCAAAATAGAAGCGCGATTGAAAGGGATTTAACGTGAATTATCATTCGAACCCAATTTTGCGTAGAAATAAAAACCACCCGAAAATAAAGTTCTTTCACACTTTCAATTTTTGAACTATTGTTTTCACATTGTCACGCTCACATACACTTAGTGGATATTGATAATTAAAATTTTCCGAAAATCAACAAAACAAATAAAATTGGTGGTGTTGCGCGGACCTCATAATTGAAATCAAAAATTATTTTTAAATAAATAAACTCTTTCTCATTAAACCTACCATTATTTTCCCATAACACCTATTCAAATTCACCAAACTAATCCCTGAAGTACTGCGTTCAGTATTATTCAGTCTGTAGTTTACACAAGAAAGTAATTTGCAAAACTGGTGGTATAATGAAAAATAGCATAGAAAAACAAAAAAAGGATGCAGAAAAAAGTGTAGCAACATGTTTCGACTCCTGTCTATTGGTGTCCAACTTAAAAACCGTACAATTTCATTCCCTTCTTTTTCTAACCTTGCAATAACTACAATCACTACTTTCTCAAGCCATTTCTATTACTCGACATCATTTTGATCCAAAAAAAATACAAAGGAACTTGTTCGCACTTAAACCTATAACCGATCGCTTTCTTCGGCTTTGTTCAACTTTTTTTGAATCGTTGGCACAAAAATGCCTTACTTTAAGAGTTTGCCATCCTCTAGTCCCAATCCCAATCTAGCATCCCGAACCCGACATAATAGCGATTAACCTGGGATTAAATTGCACGAGTCAAGATATTGCGCTTAGTACCATTCCCAAGGCACGCGTCTCGATTAATTCGTTATTTTCTGTAATGGCAGATGCTCGACATTCAGGTGTTTGGTACGAACCCAGCTTTCAGTAAACTGATTTTTTAACTTGAACTAAAAATTGCGACCCGATACTACAAGAATTGGCTTGTTTTTAGATGAAACAGTGAGTTCGAAAGAGACTCAATCCAAATGTGTTTTCGGTTTTGCTTTTTTTTGTGACTTCACCAAAGCGTAAAATGAATCGCAATTACATAAAATAGCCAAAAAGATTGTCGAAGTATCACTGAATTAACGGAAACCAAAAAAATAACTGATATTGAGGAAAAATTTTCAAAATTTGGTTTTTAACGAAAAACCCAACCCCAGATTGAGAGTCATTTCCATTCATCATGAGCAAAGTCAAGCCTAAGCAGCAACGAAATCTTCTTTCAAGCGCAACTAGCTCAAGCTGTTTAACCTTGCTGAATGGAAGCAGCTTACAGAAACTATTTTGGTTGAAAAATCCATATCGACATTTATAAATACCAATTCGACCTTTTTTTATTCAGAAGCGAGTAACGAACAATTGGTTTTGACGGGGAACATTTTCGATTATTTATGGACGGCATCGCTTTGGTCTTACGCACATTTTGTTCTTAGGCACAAGAAATTTAAAAAAAAACAGTTACTACTAGCGGAGCTTACGCTATTTCAATGAAATGATCAGTCGATTTTAAATAAATTTTTTCTATAAGCCTAACTAACTGTGAAGACAGAGCAGCAAAGCTTTCCGAAACACTTTCCGAATAAAATGCCGAAACACAATTATCTTGAAAAAAAAACAGTTAAAAACCGCTCACCTGTAAATAGCATCAAAACTATTTAATTTGAATATTCGACTTCGTGATCTTAACTATTTAGAAAAAAGTATATAACACACAAGAGTGCTCGTAGATCAAGTCCTGAAAGTTCCGACGGCCCCTTAAAGCTAAATTCGACAAAACATCAAAAAAGAAAATATTTTTAAATGTTGTCTTCCTTTTAGCCCTCCATACCCGATATAAAATACGAAGGGATGTTTCCAGTGTCTTATGTTGTACTATTAGGACTAAATGTCTGGCCTCAATTCCAATTTGGAATTTTCAAAATCGCCGCTTAAACGTGTTCTAAAAACGCAACATATCGCTTACACTATTCCGAATTAGTACTTTTTAAATGCCCAGAACTGAACAGGTGAAAATTAATGATAGATTTAAAGAAGCTGTTTAAATATCGGCTCAGAACAACGATATAATTCAGTTTGTTTTAAAAAAATTTGTCTACAGCGCTTAGTTAAGTATGACTGAATAAAAAAATTGTAGGCAACACACATTTGGAAAAATGTCAGCGAAAGCCAGGAAAATACAACTTTCAAATTTCAATTAAAAAACATGCCCTTAAACCGCTTCAAACTTCATGAGAACTTTTCGATTGAATAAAATTAACCCAATTCGAGACAACTAGATCAAAAGGTAAACTTTTTATTCCGCTGGTAACCTGAAAACTAAAATCAAATTTCGAAAATATAAGTTGTTCACGTTTTTACGCGCCATTTTAGCTATTGAAATTAGAGCTCATAATCTGCCTTCCGCCTTCTTAGATGAATTTGAATTGTTCTTAAAGGGGAACCAAAAGCTAAACCAAAACAGATCAATTTCTGCGTCAACAAATTTTAAGCGATTTATCTTAAAAAAAACGAAGGAAAAAAATTAACTCGACCTATAAAAGTGTTTTGGTTACCTTTTATTGGCACTTGCTAACTCATCGCAAGCATCAATTTTTCTTCACTTTCTTCGAAAGTTAAAATACAAACAAGGAATATCAATTGATCAAAATCGAGTCTATTAGGAAATTAATAGGACCAATAAGTTTGACTCGAAGTGAGCAACAATTATTTTAATGTGCTCAAAGAAATTCGCCATCAAGCAATGAACATTACATAGGGAGGATGTAGAGAACGCAGAACTCAGCCAGGTAATTGGTCCAATTCTCAGTTTTTAAATCCCGTAAGATATGAACCATAATTCAGGTGAAAAATCCTTTTGATTTTGAGCTTATAACAACGAAACAATTATATTTTGGCACGAAAGGTATCTTAAGAAAAGTCAACCAACTTGCCAAAACAGTACCCAGCAGTATAGTATGCGCACATAATTTTTGACGACAAGTTAAACACAGAGGCGAAGCTGCGCTTCTCAAAAACTTGCAAGAACACGATCAAAAAGCAGCTCTTTCTAGTGAAATAAGAAAAGAAAAAGTAGAAACAAGCCTCGAGCTAGCAAAAACTCGGCTACGTGTAAGATTCGAATCTGCAAGCAACTGCAATCAAGAGATTTTGAGTCTCACGCACTATCTACTCAGCCGCGCAAGCTTAACAACCCACAAACACTAGTCACGGGTAAAGAAGCTACATATGCTAATAAGTTGCCAATGCGATTCAGCAGAAGTGGCACCAAATACAAAGACTCAATTTTGCATGTAATAAAATTGAAATATATCAAACTAAAGGCATCCCCACTAACTTTGCTTGTAACAAATCGCAAAGCAGAAAGGCACATTATGTATAAATTATGCATTTCAAAAAATTTCGAGATATATTGAGTTAGAAAATATCTGAAATCGAGTTTTCATGATTGTTATATTGTTCGAGTTTTCATTATTGTTATGTTGCTTGAAATAAATCAGTTTTCGGTTCATTTCATGAAATAAAAATGCATCAACTGTGTTAACCTATTACTATTCGAATGTCAAAGCACATGCTATGAAAAAGCTGTACAGTTGTCCCAAAATTGGCACCAATTTTTGCGACTAAGGTTGGGAAAAAAAAGAAGGTTCATACTAATACACTCGCTTCGCAAGTGTAATAACCAAAAGCTTTTTATGAAGTCTTAAAATGAAAGCTTCCAATTTTTTGGAGAGTTTGAAAACTGAGATCTATGAGTAACGAACGTGATTTTTACACTTAGAGAATAGCTTGCCGAAATATAAAGCCAAATTTCAAAGATTCAACAGAATTTTTTTTGCCGAATACAAAAAAAAACTGTTTTTTTTTTGTCACACTCAACTGAAAATTACTCGAGTTGAAAACCCTTTCTTTCGAGTTTAAAAACATTTGTTTGATCATTAATTCAAATTTAAAAAACCATAAACCTGACTTATTAAGCTATACAGTACTTTTTATTCTAATCTGGATCTTCATTTGAGTCTGAATAATTTCCTGCGAGCGAAAGCAAGGATGAAGAGCTATTATTTTGATTAATTGTCTTCGTATCGGAATTTGTCAAACTTCTTGTATCTCCGAGTACGTCGTTCCTGCTTGTTTCTTGAAGATCGCTAATTGAACTTGCTGCTGTCTTTTTAATCGAGGATTTAGACTTGGGCTTAATAGCAACGAGATTAGTCAACGAAGCACTGCGAAAAACGCTTGAAGGATCTTTTATTAGCTTAACCTTTTTCGAAAGACTGACATTCAACGAACGCTTAATGACTCTCAGTTTTTGAGACTGGGCCGATAGTTTAACACCCAGTTTTTTGCTAGCAACTGTGGGTACTGAAAGTTTGGAAGAGCTCTCGATGAGAAATGTTTGCTTTGCTTCAATTTCATCTGATTCCGTTTTTGGTACGAGATCAAAATTCAAATTTAGTTTATCGGATATTTCTTCGTCTGCTTTCTCATTGGCTAATATTTGTTTCTTTTCTTCTCGAAACTTCTTTCTTAGAACTGAGTTTGCGGTGTGGACATCTTTCCAGTTACTATCTTGTGTATGGTAAATCTCAGCTAGAGTCGGAATTTCTTTGGCCGCCTTCGTTTTGTCTTTGTGCCCGTAATCTAGATTAAACATGGCGTCATTTCTGAGCCTCTGCTTTTCATTATATTCCACAGCTTCAATCTGTTCAGCGTCTTCTGCTTTCCAGCGATTATTAACTCTTCTGGCTCCCGACATTACGGTGTAATCGCAATTTTTTGGGTCTGTTTGGATTTGAATTATACTCGGACAATAAACACATTTCATGCTGAACTTGTAAATGGGCGTCGAGTAATACATCCCCACTTTTGTTTTCTCGGCATTATAACGGACTCCCATGCCTATGTGGTTATTACATCCATCGCACCAGATGTTGAATGGCATCTCAAACCGGATGATGAGAATGCCGCGATCCAGTTTTCTCGCCCGGTCTCTGAGAGGGTGGGTTCCATAGTAGTTATCCAGGGACCCATGTTCTGGTCTCCAGTCTGGAGGGTAGTATTTCTGCTGGCCTTTTCGTTCACCCATTTTGATTTAAAGGAAGATTTCAAATTAGGACAACGATAGCAAGATTGTGCATTTATCTGAAATGTTTCTGGTAGAAGCATGTATATTTGATATCGCCTTAATTGTGCTAATACTGGAAAGTTGTGTTTTATATTCCATTATCTTCCAGTTTAAAGCAAAAATAACAGATAGTCTAAATTTTAGGTTACTTTAAGTTCATCTAACTTACGACAAACAATCTAAAACAAATTCAAATTAGTGCTAATTTCAAAAATTTCTTTAATTCTAAGTTCTTGATGTTTCATCAAGACTTTAAATTTATCTTTCAATCTTTCAGTTTCATTCTAACAATGAAATAAGCCCCAAATTACGTTTCTGTATCTTTTCAGCTTATCAAAATGTTTAAGACGTGCTTTCCTTTCGATGTTCCGAGCTTTCGCCTCCACAACTCTGTTTTGTTGTCGCATCTTGATTCTGTTGAGGCACCACAACATTCAATCCTAACTGTTGCATCTGCGCTAAATTCAGTTTTATCATCTTCTTTGGCACTTTGAATCTACCCACTATTGTCAAAACACCACCCTCAATCCATCCGTTTTTTACATCCTTCAATTTATTCATTTGCATCACATTACACACAACATTTTGACTCCGTTTTCGCGCATCCGATAGGTTATCAAACTTCACACTTCTAGGCCCACTGTTGTACGTAAGTTGACAGTCATTCAAGTTGTTAATTGTAAGCCAAACATTTAATTTTGCTCTCGTAAGAGGTTTAGTACTCGTTTTATCCGCCCATCCTTTGCATATCAACCCAAGATTAAAATTGAGCGGCTTCGGCAAACTACCATCTCCATCATCTCGACAGGGTGTAACAACTACAGCCCATCTCAAGCCTTCCGAGAAACAAACATCACTTTCGACTTGGAACCCGTTTTTCCATTTGAACACGTCAGATTTCAACACTAACTCATTGGCATATGGCATGTTGTCCGAATCAAGTCGACTAACCATGTTAACGAACTCCGGACTGTCATAGTTCAACTTCCAGTTACTATTTCGACAGCTTCGTTCCAATTCTTTCTTTTCTGTTCTGTTATCTCGCAGCTCTTCATGTTTAACACAATGTCTTGAAATCTGATTTTTCGCTTCTTTCAAATCCAGTTTTTGAAGCAACTGAAAAACTGCATCTACATGGAGAGGCTTCGATGATTTCAGATCATGTTTGTCACCACAATCGGGACACTTCAACTCAGAAGCAGCTGGTTCTTGAGATCCATTAAAGCAATCTCCGCACATCATGTGCCCGCAGTTTAAAGTCAGAGGACCAGCAAGCGTTTTCTGACACGCAGGACAACTCAACACTGACTTAATGATGCTAGCATACTTGGATTCTTCATTCTCCCGCATTATTGGTTTAATTTGCTTTATCTTAGACATATCCGGAGATTTTTGATTTGGAGTATTTTGTTGAGCTAAAGCTTTGGTGTGCGAGTTTACAGTTTTATTTTTGTTGTAGGGCATTGTAAACGATATCAATTATCTGAAAAGCTTGCGATACTTTTGCAAATGAGCAGTAACACTACCCTCCGTAGACTTTTATTAAGCAACTTCACAAACTATAAAGCATTAAAAAAGTTAGCGCAGAGTCAGGTTAATTACATTTGAGAAAGTTTGAACCTAGCCAATAGACAGTTGGAAAAGAGTCAACGAACACAAGAAAACAAAAGATAACTGACTTGTTTTTTGAAAAACTTCATAATAAATTCTACTTTTGAAACTAGAAATCGTTCACGTTTTTCGTGACCTTAACATCTTCGTAATTGGACAGCGCAACTTATCTAAGTTTTAGCAGTTGAAAAAGAAAACTCCAAATAGTGCATATATACCTAAAAGCATTCATAAATTCATTATTATGTATGACTGCACTTGTAAAATATTAAAGCATTTTAAGACTTTTCCTGAAAAAAAGTCATCACGCCTTTTATAAGAATCTGAACTGCGTTCATCGACCACACGATCGCGTGGCGTCTATTGTTTAACTCAATTGCTATATTTTCTGCCCAAAATACCGTGATTTGGGACCCGTCTGTCACACTTGGTTTTTTACCACATCGCACCACTTGCGATACCACGCAAACATATCATTTCTAGCTAGCAGAAAACGAATGTAACACAGCCACTAAGCCGCAAAATGTCGAAAAACCACTATTACGAAATTTAACTAAGCTGACAAAACAGATAGGCCGACAATAATCAGACCAGGTGCAGTCTTTGCCTCTAGATCAAACGGGTCGCAGATTCCAATTAAATTGAATTGTTAAAAATCAAGCAATCAAGTGATTCAATGATTCTGTTAAGCTAATTGTTAACCCGTAAAAAAGTCTATATACGATTTAATACCGCTTAAAGCATAATCATATTAAAAAAATGAACACAACCTGCAAAATGATAATAATAATTATTAAGCAAGTGTAAGTCACACAACTTTTCTGGGTTATGCTTGCGATAAATACATTTTCTGATTTCATTTTACCTAGTCAATTCATCTTCTATGTCCGTATCCCCTCCTATCTTCTTCGGTTTAGCTTCTGAAAATTTCGCTCGATTTTCACTCTGAGCCATTGATTAAAAACCTGTAAAACTGAATTTTTTATTAATGTTGTATCTACCGCTATGACAGCAAAAGTATTTAATGACGGCTGGTTGATTTCCTTGTCAAAAAACACATTAATCAGAATTATATTCAATAATTTGATGTAACACAGCGCATTATAAAAAAAATACATACATCAGCGGGACCTGTGACTTCACCAAATAAAGCGCACCATTTTACATCAATAAATAATTTTAGTACATCCTTCTTCCAGTTAGCTTTTAGACACAATAGCTCCTTTTTGAATCAGATCTGGAATTTCAACAGCAAGCCATGGGGCTAACCCAAGCGCCATAGCATGAGCAATTCCGAATTTAGGAACATTGCGTGCCCATAATGGTTTAAAGTGATCCGTTAAGCAAATTTTTCCACCTCTGTACATTTTTGCCGTTTTACCATCAAGTTCAGGAATTGCAATTTCAGGAGCTGTTGATGGATATGCCACAGGCATGTCAAACTCGATATCAAATTCATATTTCACTAAATTGTCGTACACCCAACATTTTCCGAACCATTTAGTACCTTCTCTATTTGACTCAAGTCTGAACCAATCGTTATCTGCCTCTTTGCTATTTTTTACGTACTGAATTAAAGACTGGTATTCTTCCTTAAGACGAGCAGGCCACTGTTCCGAGTCTCGGGGACCAGCTTTTACTGTTAGCAAAGGAATACGAGCTAATTGTGATTTGGTTGCGTCATCGACCATAACTTGTATCTGGAACAAATGTAATCAGAAGGTCAAAAGTATCATAGTAACCGAGGTTACAGTCATGAGTCCCTTCATCATGTATTCCAGTCAAAATCCTTGGAATTTTTTTAGATATGGAAGTGATAATGATAAAAGAAGATGACAAGTGTTTAGGTCCTTTTCAATTAAAATCGATACGGGTTACGTTTCTTCAATAAGAACACGCAACTCGACACGAGATAATATAATATACAATTGTTACAAGTAAAAAATTTCTTCAAAAGTTATTTTGTCATTTATTGTTCCGAGTACGCAAGCGGCGTTCGCAATCTGTATTGCCAGGGAGATTCTCTGTTTTAAAAAGCTGCCTGCTCTGGGTTCCTCAGTGCATATGCTTAGGTTCTTACAAAGATTGCTCAAAAAAACTTCTGTTGTGGCCGGCCGCGCCCTGAATTTCAAAAGCTAGCGGTTGAAAAAGATATCCATCATTTACAAGATCTTTATACTTGTCAATTTTTCGCTCTTCCGCTTCAGCGGCAGCCGTACCAGGGTTACAAACAGACCCCGCATTAATCCTAAAAGGAGCTAAGGAGTCTACTACCGTTACATCTCACAAGAGCTGCTTACCATCAGCCCATGGAACGAGCGTCAAACCGTCTGGTCGCTTCTGATCGGTCCTGTAGAGGTGTCGTGGTTCTAAAAAATGTGAGTAGATGATAGACTCTGCTTTATAAGGGCATTCAGGTTTGAATGCCTAGAGAATCTCCCTGCACTTTTGAGGCAAGAAAGACCATGCCAACCATCCTCGGTAACGTCTTTTCCGCACACGCATTTATGCCGTTCGCATATTTTTGATCCTAATCGAAGTCTTATCGCAATTCTGAGTTGTTGGTTCGACAGTTTTAACCTTAAATTTTTGCACGGGATGACGTTCAACCATTGGGAGCCAAATCTACCTTGGAACGCGTTGAACCTTTTTACGTCCGTTGGTTCGAGTCGTAAAATCAAGTCTGCAATTTCGCTGTCAAAAATTGGCTCCGTCCAATTTTTTGTGACATTCGACCAGAATGTGGAAAATGCAATCTCTGCAGAATTCGGAATTTTAGCAGTAAGCCTTCCGGATTGGTGGTTTTTAAGAACTAAGGGCGTTATTGGAACGTTTAGCCAAACGGTGAAGGCTGGAATATTCTAGTATTTTAAAATTTCAAAAATTCGAATGATGACGTCACATTTCTGAGAAATGCTGAAACGGCCATTTTTAACAAAAAAGAGTGAAAAAAGAGAACAACAACGTTAGTTGCGCTGACGAGAACAACTTTATCGAAATTGAAGAAGTCGAAATTGAAGAAAAACAGCAGCAGAGTGCAGAGAGCGTTCCGAGTTGCAACTATTGTGCTGCTACAATAGTTGCAAGGCCGTTGCAAACAACGGTGAAGGGTAAGAAACCAGCCTTCCGGATTAGGAAGAAATCAAGATCAAGGAGCTTGATTCACCGGATTCAAGAATCCGGAAGGGTCTCGGGACGGAAAACTTTTATGGACTCATATGAACTTTTAGCATCCTGTCATGTCCTGACTTGAATTTAATTGATATTTGGATTAGTTTTGACAAGGATGAGGTGCTAAGATGTAACATTCGTCTACTGCAGTCACACATGAGGCTTAAGAAAAATAGGCCCTATAACCACTGGCTCAAGGGTCAGGGACACCATCTCTTGTGTTTTTCTACCTCAAGAACGGTCGGAGCCAGTTCGGTTCGCTTGTGACATGAGACTACGACCCGTTACAGCTTAAAGGCTACTACTAAAATATCCCCCACTCTAGAATTAGAAACGTCCCCATACTTAGGTCTCTAGATACCCAAAATACATGAACGCCGTTAAAAACCGGGTTGGAACAATCCGTTAAGTTGCTTTTTTTATTAGACAGTGGAACTTTGATCCATTTCAGATGGATCAACCTAAAACTCGCCTTACCTCAACATAACAATTATAAAACACACTCTAGGAATTTAAATTTGTACTCACATAGTAGCACGCTCAAGAAGTGGGAAATAATCCAGTCGGTAGATAACTCAAGAATTAAATAACGTAACTAAATGAGTCTAATGTTTTATAGTTTTAACAATGAGAACGAGTTTATACTCTAGACAATAGTTTTCTTGTGAACCATTAGGACACTTGAGTTGTCCACCTTTCCACCGAAGGTTCACTCTAGTCCAGTTCCGAATAACACTCCAGTCGCTATAATCCAATTCGTGGGAATGCTCTCGTCTCTGTCACAGATGGGACAGCTCTACTCTCGATTATGATAGTGATGGAAATTGCGAATAGCAATTTCCTACTGCTTTTTCTTACAACTTTCCCGCGTGTGTGACTCAATCGTTCTGAAATTGTTCTGATTTTTTTTTCTGATTTTCAGTTATCGCGAGAAAATCGTGCATGACAGGTTCCATTCGAAATTTTGAAAAATTAAATTTCACTCCAAAATCAAGTGTTTTTTGCTTCTCTCAAGGTCAAACTTCCAAATATGACCGACTGGCACATACTCCCCGGACTCGAGATCGATGTCCTCATCGCGCGCTGTCTTCTGCCAGTGAGTCCCAGAAAAACCGAGTGTTGCTCAAGATACAGTGCCAGTGGTCATTTACAGAAGTTTGCAGCAGACTTAAGCTTATCTACACCCCAAAATTCACAGCCATCTAAAATTTTCACACTATTGCTAAACAGCAACCAAAATCTGCATACACCTGCACCCTTGAATTTTCGCTTTTCAAGCCAATCATTTTAAAATCTCTTTTGTCCTATTCAATCAGGAAATTGTCATGCAGCATTTCGATTTATATAATAAATATAGTATATTAGTAACAATATTTGCTTTGTTAAAATTTCTTTTTCGTGAATCCAACTTTCACTCGGATCCACGCTCAAGCCCCCCTTCCCTCTCAAGACTCAAGATCCATCCGATTTGCCCATTCATCTCGTACTCTTCGCCTTAGAGGTACTACATCCTGAAGTGCTAGATGCGGCAAACTGTCTCAACAGTTCCTCTTCATCATCGGAACTAATCACAATCTCCTCCCAAGCCTTCAGCTGTTCATAGGATCGCATCCATTCTCTCTGCTCCTGCAACCTCTTTGCTTGGTTGGGTAGTGCCTTCACCCTAGCTTCTCGGTTCAAGCAAAAGGAGTTGTGCAGGCTCAAGCTCACGTTCTTCGCCAGGTCTTCCTCTAGTATCGACTCCCTCGCTTTGGTATTGTCTCTAGACATCTTACCCACTCTTTTCCATCCTGTCGTGATCGCATTACGATGGGTTAGTAGGGGTCTCTTGAAAGCTTCCGGCCCAATCTCGGCCTGGAACTGTCGATACTCTTTTTGATGTTTTCTCATGTGATCTTTCGTTGTCATGTACAACCAAGACGTCAGTGTCGCCCGAAACCATGGAAAGTACCTCAAGCGACTCCATACGTGCCTGACTTCCGTCGGTATGGCGAATACTTTGCACGCAGTCTCAAACAACTCGAGTCTCCTGCTGTAGTCTATCGCGTATATTGACTCAGCCGTTGGCGTCGTCGCCTCCCGATACTTCGTTATATTCTCTTCTATCCATCTCAGAGCTAACATCGTACTCACTACTAAGAGCGTCACCTTCTGCCGGTGATCCGGTAGTCCGATCGACGGAATCTCTTCCACATCCCACACCAGGCAAAGGTTCTTGTGATCTGGATACCACACCGTTTGTGCCAAACAGTGGCATGGGCATTCCCCATGAGAGATCTCAATGCTCCTGAGATTACGCTCCCCTGAGGCTTCCAAGAGAGGCTCAAGCTCCATCATTTTCTCGTGCATCGTGTCGTTGTCTTCCAGGTTCGGAGTACTTCCCACAGGTTTCCCGATCACGTTTTGTCTCTCGTGATCGCTTGTGTTTTCTCTTTCCAACTTCAGAAGATCTTCTCCCCAGATTTCGCTTAAGTCATTTCTCAATTCTTTTGGTACTGTCCCTTTGATTTTCCTCAACAACTTGTGCGAGTGATGCGACATCCGAGCCAACCTCACGCACTTGAGCACTGAGAAGGCCTTGTCCACCAGTATTCTCTGGCTGGACACTTCCACCATCGCCATGTGTAGCGGGTAGTGACTTCCGCACAAGTTGGCCATCATTGACCCTATCAGCGATTTCGCGTTCAACGGCAAGCCATAAGCTTCGCTCATGGGAAATCCCATTTCCGCCTCAAGACCAACCTTCCAGCTCCGGATGTGTTTCTGAGTCACCTGCAACACCCCGGGCCATGATTCTACGCTCAACGCCGTCACTAAATGATGTTCAGATTCCAGTCTCTCCAGTGCCTGCAGACCACACATTCTCGAGAAGAATCCGAGAGCTGTCGCTATATTCACCGTGGTTCTCGCGTAACATTCCGCTATTATTTGCACTTCACTTTTCTCCCTTTCTGTGATGTCTTCGAACCAAGTGACCAGGTCTTCTTTTTGAAACGACAGTATTCTGACGCATGACCGTCCATCGCAGATGTGCTCTCCGTTCCCACACGTCGAATCCAGACAGCTACCCGGCTCCAATTTCTTTGCTGACCCGGGGTCGCTCGTCCTTTCGCTTGGCTCTTGCATCTGGGGCGTGATTAGCTTATGTAGCACACTCAACTTCGCCAGATCTTCATCTTCCGTTGGTGCTAACCTCACTCGCTCGGTGGTTTCCTCGATTAGACTCGCATGGGAGGGTCTTAGTAGCTTCCATATCACTCCCAAGTTCGTGGTTAACAAGCCATTTTCACCGCCCATGTTCACTTCAACTCTCTTGTTTGAGCGCGGTATGCTTATCACCTCTGGTGTTTTCTCAAGAATCAGGCCCAGGCTCGGCCCCTCTTTTTCCACCGCGTCTATTTCCATTATTCTTTCTGTCCAAAACTTCAGTAGCTCCGCTACCTCATGGTTTCTGTGGGCTCCTCCAGCTTCCGAGTCTAAGAAGGGATTGTAGGCTATTCCCATCACTCCAGACACATATTGGTATTCCCCCTTCTCACTGAGTCTCGAGTACTGTT